CCCGTTCCCCCGGCCCTCAGCACCCCGTTGTCTGTGTCCATGGGTCAGGCATATGTGCACATGAGTTCAGTGGCTGATCTCTTCCACCCACTAAACATTATGTCTAACAAGTATTTCACCCAGCGCACCCGCTGGGCTTCCTTTGTGACGCCCTCAGAGTTCGATGTCCTTTGCGCCTCCCTCCCCCTTTAGGATTGGGGGAGGGGCCCCATGGATCTCATGCTCTGAGTGGAAAGACTCAGCAAGTCCTGTTGAGACCTCTTTCCCACTCTGGTCGCTGCTGGCCTGTGACTGGGCAGTCGTTTCGTTGTCACCTGCCGGAGGGACTGTTCGGAGGTGTCCCAAGCGAACCTTGGTGGGCGTTCCCACCCCAGACCCCAGATGAGCTTGGACATTGTTCTAGGGCCACGTCCTTGACTGTGCAGATGTTTGCGTACTTCTCTGTGAATTCCCCCCTGGTCTGCGACTAGGCTCCTGATCCCAGGTTCTTCCTGAGGCGAGGGCTGGAGGAGAGGAGGGAAGGGAAGGCCTGTGGAGATTCTCTTGGCCTTTCTCCCTGTGCATTTTGGGTTAAAAGATGTACTTATTTCTGTTTTTTTTTTTTACGTATTAGTTTCGGGTGTACAGCTTAGTGGTTAGACAATCATATACTTTCCTAGTGTCCCCGCAATATTTCCAGTGCCCACCTGGCACCATCCATGGTTATCACAGTATTATTGACTGTATTTCCCAAGCTTTACTGACTTCCCCGGGACTGTGTTGTAGCTGCCACTTTGTGCTTCTTAGTCCCTTCACCTCTGTCACCCAGAGCTCTGAGCTGCGCCGCCCCCCCCCCCCCCCCCCGCTCTCTCTGTATCTATGAGTCTGTTTCAATTTCATTTGGTCATTTATTTGTTCCTTTGGTCACATATATAAGTGAAACCATATGGTATTTGTCTTCCCTGACTGACTTCACTTGGCATAATACCCTCTAGGAGCAAATGGTAAGGTGCCATTCTTTTCTGGCTGAGCCATGTTCTGCAGCGTGCCCTGGTATGTGACACTGCTTTTTGTGCCCTTGTCTGGGATGGGCTCGGGCTGCTCCCATAGCGGGGCTGCTGCAAGGATATGACGCTGCGCTGAACATAGGGTGTGCAGGTTCTTTCCAATCAGTGTTTTGGCTTCTTCGGGTAAACCCCCAGGAGGGGAATCACTGGGCGGTAAGGCTACTTATTTCTACTCTTTATTTACATTTCTCTGTTGATGCCTGGACTGCCCTGAGCAGGAACGTTTTGGAATTGACATATTTTCCTAAAAACATCTCGGGTCATTTTCTTTAAAAAGGCCCCGTTTTGTATATTTTCCTAGAGTTTGGATGCAGGCGCTTAGGACCCAGAGCAGAGAGAGTTAGGGTGAGCCGCCTCCATGGGCTGGCGCAGGCGCTTCTCTCCCACCTGGGGTATCAGAGCTTCCCCGGAAGTGGGTGGGGAAGCCGGCCAGGGGTGGAGGGGGCAGAGCGGGCAGAGG